TTGGGCAAAGTTCAATGTGGTTATTATTTATATTTCTCATACTCTTCAATAACTTCAAGTGAAGATATACCGAGAGATTTATATAATTTAAAGTCATATTAATTACTTACCTAATAGACAAGGCGAAAACCTCGCATTCGTGGGAGAAATTTTCCGACTCGATTTTTTGGCATATTCAGATTCGTGAGATGTTCCTTAACATGAAACGACATGATGCCGGCCGGAAATCTGGTGCCCATTTGTTTAAACAAACATTTTTTAAATATATTGTAAAAATAGTTTTTTTCACTCCGGAATTTTTTTTTAGGTTTTTAGGCACATTATAAACAAAAAAGTTCCTATGCACTGTGCCTCTAAAATTGATAGTTTTAAAGTTATAAACAATTTAAGTTGCTAAAAATGTGAAAATTACGATTTTCAACGGCCGATTTCCGGGTTAAAAATTGTTATTTTTTATGTTGCCAGGTACCTAAATTAAATCTTAAACATCCCCCTACAAGATGATGAAGAGTTTTTGGGACTCGCGTTATTCTAAAGCCTTGTTTTTTAATTGTTAATAAAGCGCTATGAGCCGCGCGCGCGCCTCTCTCATACGCGAATTTGTTATTTCTAGCAGCTTCAGCTTATGTTTTATGTCTGAATTAAGTAACGAAGAGTTTGATGCATTACAAAGATTATACCTAAAAATATTAAATAGCAAGGCAAAACAGCCGATGAAGCTAGAAAATTAATTTTCTCTCATTGTAGCGGAATGGGTATTAATTTAATTAAAATACCATGCACTTCCGATGCATTGAAATTACACGTCTTAAGAGCTTCTTTAGAAACGTACATATGAAAAAGTTCCATTTTTCCTCAATATCAAAGTTTGTGTTTCACAGCTTTTGGTTATCAAAATGAAACAGGTAAATTACATATTACCTAAATTTATTACCAAAGGTCCATTACCCAAAGATTTAGTTAAACAATGTAAATGTACAAAAAACTGTAAGACTAAAGCTTGTTCTTGTATGAAAAACTATGTCACTTATGTACCTTTCTGTGGTTGTAACATAGAACAGTGTGAGAATTCTTATGATTGAATAAATGTGTGATAATAATAATAATATGCAGTATTAAATAAATGTTCTTTAATAAAAATCAAATGTATTTGATACTATTGCCCTTTTATTTTTTTCTACACTCTATTCGTACAATTTTGAATTAATTAAATAAAATTATTATGAATTATGAAAATTAAATAATCAAGTTTTACATTATCTTATGAGTAGTAATAGTACTTAGAATGCTAAATTTAAAGAACATAAGTTGAATCCGCTAGACGAAATAGCGAATCCGCGTATGAGAGAGGCGCACACGCGGCTCATAGCGCTTTATTAACAATTAAAAAACAAGGCTTTAGAATAATGCGAGTCCCAAAAATTCTTCAGCATCTTGTAGGGGGATGTTTAAGCTTTAATTTAGGTACCTGGCAACATCAAAAATAACAATTTTTAACCCGAAAATCAGCCGTTGAAAATAGTAATTTTCGCAGTTTTAGCAACTTAAATTGTTTATAACTTTAAAACTATCAATTTTAGAGGCATAGTGCATAGGAACTCTTTTGTTTATTATGTGCCAAAACAAACAAAAAAAAACTATTTTTACAATTTATTTAAAAAAAGTTTGTTTCCGGTTTCCGGCCGGCATCATATCGATTCATGTTAAGGAACATCTCACGAATCTGAATATGCCAAAAAATCGAGTCGGAAAATTTCTCCCACGAATGCAGGGTTTTCGCCTTGTCTATAAGTATTTATTTATAATATATTTATGTAGTTATACTGTGTCATATTATCACGCCACAAATGAATCTAAGCATGCCTACTGTACAACTAGCACAGTTCTCTATACACGCGCGATGTATGTTCAGATCATTTACATATTTTGTGTATAGAAGTCAGTACAAATATGTAAAAAACCTATGTGAATTTTTTTTACGTTTACGCGATTTTTTAAAATTTATGTTAGAAAAAACTTGGCCAATCACTACAGTTGTATTTAAGTAGGTCATTTTTGTAGTAGTAAGGTAGTCGCAATGCTTAAAATACGCAGTTGAACAAGTCAGTATACTTAATTTACATAAATTAAGAATTAATTAGGAGAGGTTAAGCACGTGATAAACCAGAAAATTAATTAATTAACCATGATTCGGATAACTGAATTCTTTTACAGTTTTAAGAATAATAAATCTATTAGCCTCTAACAGTTTTGTAAAAAAAATTAGAAATAAACAACATATGGATGGCATCTTTTATATTGCAGCCGTCTTTTCAGTAACAACGGCTCTAGCATCTGCCCAAAAAATTGTAATATTTTGAAAGAACAAAAGCATTTGTTTCTACATTTTTAGTAGCATGAAACTGTGTAAATACTAAATTTTTGGGGAGGAATATTGATACAAAATGAGATTTTTTAAATTTTTCTGTACTTAATTTTTCAATTTTCGCGCTTAAAAAGTGATCACGTGACGTGATATCACTTATTGAGTTTTGAGGACGTGGGTTCAGAGGTATAAAAATTCCGGAAAAATTGAGCATCAGGAAGAAAACCGTTTTTTTCTCAGAAAATTCGAAAAAAACAAAAAACTTTTGTTAAAATCTAGGATATGAAAGGCTGAGGTTTTATTTCATTTTGTTTTGAATAAAAATAATATTTTGTTAAACTGGTGTTTGAGTTCTATTAATTCCAGATTTGAAAGCATCGCTATTAGAAATAAGTAAATTCTATTAATTTGTTTAAGCTTAGCAAAATAAATCTAGTGTTTTGATCAATTTTTTTGCTTAGGAGAGAAAACCAAAAACGACAGTTTTCTTCCAATATTCCCTTTTTTTCTGATGTACTAAAGGACCCCACACAAAATTAATGGAAATTGGGTCCCGCTAGATTTGGCTGAAGTTGTAATATGTTATAGTTCTCGACATTCTGATGAAAAGTTGTCACGGGCCCAAAGTGATCCTATGGATAGTTTCAGAGATATAGATTTGGCTGAAATTGTGATATGTTATAGTTCTCGACATTCTGATGAAAAGTTGTCACGGGCCCAAAGTGATCCTATGGATAGTTTCAGAGAGATAGAGGGGGGAAGTGTGTGATTGACCAGTAGGTACAATGATTTTGGGATCGCTGAAAATGAATTCTTGGATAGCTTAGCTATCTAAGGTCACCTGGAGGTCAGGTAAAGGTCGTTTCAAGGTCAAACTTAAGAAAAGACTTATTATGAATTTTGATCAGTGAGTGTATAGGTTTTTGGGCTCGCAGGATCTGAATCTGGAGATAGCGTAATCCTAAAGGTCACCTTTAAGTCAATTCCAGGTCATTTCAAGATGAAACCAAAGAAAAGGCTTGTATTGAATTTCAACCAGTGCGTAGGTATACAAGTTTTTTTTTTGGGGGAGGACTGAATTTGGGGATAGCTTAGTCCTACAAGGTCACATTTAGGTCAAGTCAAAGAAAAGGCCTTTCACGAATGTTAACCTGTAAGTATGTATGCTTTTGAGACCGCTGATCCTGAATTCGGGGATAGCCTAGCCCTATAAGGTCACCTGGAAATCAAGTTAAGGTCATTTCATTTGACTTAATCTCAATTCAAGCCCCGCAGGTGACCTTATAGGGCTAAGCTTTCCCCGAATTCAGGTTCAGCGATCTCAAAAGCATACATATTTACAGGTTAACATTCGTGAAAGGCTTTTTCTTTACTTTGACCTTGACATGATATTGACTTGACCTAAATGTGACCTTGTAGGGCTAAGCTATCCCCGAATTCAGTTCCCCCCCCAAAAAAAAAACTTATATGCGCACTGGTTGAAATTCAGTACCAGACTTTTCTTTAGTTTCATCTTGAAAAGACCTTGAATTGACTTGAAGGTGACCTTTAGGGTTACGCTATCTCCAGATTCAGATTCTGCGAGCCCAAAAACCTTTACAATCACTGGTCAAAATTCAATACGTCTTTTCTTCAGTTTAACCTTGAAACGACCTTTACCTGACCTCCAGGTGACCTTAGATAGCTCAGCTATCCAAAAATTCAGGTTCAGCGATCCCAAACGCATTGTACCTACTGGTCAAAATTCATTACATGCCTCAGTTTTTGAATGCATCAACTTGAAACTTCGTGAAGCTTACTCAGTCCTACAGCCAAAATCACACACTTCCCCCCTCTATGTCTCTGAAACTTTCCATAGAATCACTTTGGGACCGTGACAACTTTTCATCAGAATGTCGAGAACTATAACATATTACAATTTCATCCAAATCTAGCGGGACCCAATTTCCATTCATTTTGTGCGGGGTCCTTTCCCAAGAATAGTTTTTGAAATTTTCAGTACGTGAAAATACCTTGTTGGTGTCAATTAAACAATTTGAATATAGCTAATACAGATTTCGATTAAAAAGAAAAAATTCAATTTCCGAAAAAATAGAAGCTTAATGAAACGAAAACTAAAGATCTTAGGTTTAAAGAGATGAGTCAAAATACGAGGTTTGATAAAAAATTAACGGGAATTGTTAATTTTCTCAGAAAGTACCTACCTATGTATTCTTCAATTTTTATCCCATACCCTTCAAAGCAGCCCTTTTGTTATATTATACACTTATGCCATCATTGTTTGCAGTTTGGCGGAACGCTCCTTTAGGTATCGTTTTGAGCACGGTTTGCGATTTTGCCTTTTAAATATTCTTTTATGTTTGAGAAATAGGAAAGTCACAGGGGTCATGTCCGGAGAATAGGGTGATTGCGGCGTTACAACGGTGTGGTGTTTCGCCAACAACTGTTGGATATGCAAACCGGTATGCATGGTGCGTTGTCGTGGTGTAAAATCTACGAGTTGTCTCTCGTGTTCTTGTCGTTTTCTCCTAATTGCCTCGTGCAAATTACGCAAAACTTGTTAACTGTACATCGTGCAGTAAAAATTCGTGATGAACTATTCCATTGTAATCGAACAAAACTGTTAGAAGGACCTTCATATTCGACTAGATCTCGCCGCCTCATCTTCGATGTCTTCTTGGCCTTCCTGAAAACATCTGTACCATTGATAAACTCGTGTCTCGTGTCGCCAATGGCCTTCTTTAATATTTAGAACGCTTTACTGCTACACAAAAAATCAGAAGAAGCATTTTTGGACTAAGATTAGTTTAACTTCAATTGTTGAAGAACCTGTGGTATCTGAATAACCACTGTTTTCTAGGTATTTCTATTATGCTGCTGTACTTTTTTATTCTTGTTGCCTGAATGTTTCGAGTACCTACTCTTGTTGCATTTATTTCCTAATATACCTGAGCGACTTTAAAGGGTGCGTGACTTGAAATTTCAAATATGTAGGAATGCCTGTATTTGCGTAATATTTATTCGTTCCCGCTGGATAGTTATCTCTGGTCTAATATTTTATGTTTCAGATTATGGTGGACGCTGAGTGCATGTTATAAATAGTTGTGTTATCTGGGGTAATTTAAATATGCGTTCTATTGAAGATAAGCCGTCAGCTATGCTTAACTGACGGTTTCATTATAAAAACCACAATTTACGCGTGATTCTTTAAGCACAAGCTTAATCGAGGTTTTAAGTGAAATCATTTCGGGCTTTCCAAGAATAATTCTTATGCAAAATAATGAATTATTTTCAAATGCTTATTAAATAAAGCTTATTATTAATTAATAATGTGTTCAACTAAACCACGTGCTTGAGTTTCACAATACCCTAATCTGTCGTAAAATTCTTGACAAACATTTGATAAAATTTCAGGAGTAACTGATCCTAAAATATTTCTAATTTTAAGCCGCAATTCGTCCAAATTTGCGGCTCTTTCTTGTCGATGTTTGTAGAGAAGTTGCGTTAAATGACCCCATAAGAATAAGCCGCAGGGTGTCAGATCTGGAGATCGAGGAGGCCAAAGTATGATACCTCTTGTGGAAATAAGCCTTTCATGAAAGGTTTGTTCCAAATAATCTTGAACTGGCCTTGCATTGTGTGCAGGACATCTGAAACCAAATTTCCTCAAAATTTACATCCAAGTTTCGTACAGCTGGTACAACACTATTTTGTAATAAATCCAAATATCTCTCAGCATTTAAGTTACTGTCAATAAAAAAAGGGACCCTCAATATTATCGCCTAAAATGCCAGCCCAAACATTTACCTTTTGAGGGTACTACGTTCTTTATGGTATACTTAAATGCTTGTTTTCCCGGGACCAATATTGGACCATTGAAGGATTATGACGGCTAAGTAGGGAAAAAGATGATTCATCTGTAAATAAAATCTGCCTATCAAATTCATTATTTTCATCTATTTTTTCCCTAATGGATTCATAAAACTCCATACGCCTTATTTGATCACCCATAATAATTTCTTGAGAAGTTTGCATTTTATAGGCTTTGTAAATCATTCTTTTTTAAGATGCGACAAACTGTACGACTTGGAATGTCAAGGTCTTCCAAAATTTGGGAGGAAGAACAGGGCTCACTTACTTCCACAAAAACACAGACATTAACCTCTTTTTCTCTCCTTACTTCAGGAATTTGACGAGGTTCCAGATTGCTACATTTCGTACACCGATTAACACATCCACACTCCTCAAACTTATGAAAAATATTTAAAACAGTTCTAGCAGTTCTAGTTGTTCGTCGGGGTATGAAATTATAAATCAACCAACGACTTCCTCTGCACTTTCTGCACGACAATACCATTTAATAATATTAATTTTTTGTTCGACACTGTACACCATTTTTATTTTGTAATAATCCGTCTACTTACCAAAAGTTTGAGTGGAATAATAATAAAAATAAACAAACAGCAAAGCGCTTTAGGTATTCGGTCGGTTCACAAAAAATGCAACGGGGCACGTGCGCTCCCAAAGCCAACCAATTACGAGAGTCAGAGTCGCAGCCTCGATGATATATGTCATGTTCGACCCCTTCCACCCGAAGTTGATAGGGGAGATGCGTGTAATTTACTTAGTCTATGCGAAAGAATTACCTGGCCAAACCGGTATGCGAAAAATACAGTGTTTCTGCATATTTGAATCTGTCACAATGACAACACCGACAACTATCACCTGTTAATGTAGTGAAAGAATGCCGAAGTTAGAGAAGTATTTTTTGCATCTACGAACACCCTCTTCCCGCTTTCGAAGGGCATTGAATTTCTATTACTGCGTATCCCCCACAACTAGCTCAGAACCAGCGATGAGGGAAAATAGAAATGCCTGTTGCAATAGTAAATATGTAAAATAGAGAAGCATCAGTTATACTTGTAAACAGCACACATTAATAGGTAAACGTGTAAACGGATGTGACTTAGATAACACAGCCACACAAGAAAAAAGTTGTCTGTACTTTTCATGCGACATATGTTATCCGTAGTATTTTTGACTCCTGATAACGAATCCGGTGTCAGAATTGAGCTATCACATCACAGGAATTTCCTAACCTCAAAAAACAGGAAAATTAGAAAAAATTTTTTTTCTATATTCAAATGTTGATTTATATGGTTAAGACCCCGCTGAACATGAACTTTTTGTAACCTCAAAGAAATGGGTTAATTAAGGTCAGATATCACGAATTTGGAATACGGGGATTTTCGGGGTCGCTGATCACGGATCCAAGGTCAATATTGGAAAATTCAATATGGTGAATCCAAGATGGCCGACCAAATTTTAAAAAATAACACTTTCGCGCCAAATTTGGTATAAGGGGGTTTTCGGGATCGCTGATCACGAATTCGAGATCCAGTTTGCAAAATTCAAGATGGCGGATCCAAGATGTCCGATCAAATTTAAAAAAAAATAACACATTCGCGCGAAATTTGGTATACGGGAGGTTTTGGGGTCAAAAAAAATTTTTGTTTTTTTTCCTAGAACGTTTTCGTGAATTTTTGTTTTTTATTGACCTGTTTTTTGAGGTTAGGAAATTCCTTTGATGTGATAGCTCAATTCTGACACCGGATTCGTGATCAGGAATCAAAAATACTACGGATAACATGTCACGTGAAAACACTGACAACTTTTTTGTAGCTGTGTAATTTTGAAACATAACCGATTGACACAGATGAAGAAAAATTCAGTAAAAGACTACGAGAATTTACAAAAGAAAAGTTTAGAGCATTTAGATCTGAGACAGTGCAATGAGGAAGAATACGAAGCAGTTAGAGTAGTATGCTACGAATTTAGAGACATATATTATTGTAAAGAAATTCTATTGACATTTACCAACCAAGTCAAACACAAAATTAGAACTGATGATACTTCAGTATACACAAAGTCGTATAGATTTCTACAAACTTACAATGAAGTCAAAAAACAAATAAATTCCATGCTTGAACAAAACATAATACGTGGTTTAATATCACCACGGTCATTCCTTATATGGATCGTTCCCAAAAAAATGGACAACAGTGAAAAAGAAAGTTCAGAATTGTAGATAAATTTCCTACACCACATATAAATCACGTTTTGGACAAATTAGGACGAAGTCAGTATTGTACAACATAGGACTGAGTTATCTGGATATCATCAAGTAGAAATGAATTCCAAAGATATTGAGAGAACAGTAGTCTCAACAGACAATGGACATTGTGAGTTTCTCAGAATGCCGTTTGGACTCAAAAATGCTTCTTCGACGTTCCAAAGAATCATGAATCATGTTTTATTAGGTCTACACTACAGATGTCTAGTATATATGGATGATATACTAATATTTTCAACATCTTTTTTTTATTGGAAGCATCACACTAATTATTGAAAGATTTAGACAAATCAATTTCAAAATACAATTGGATAAATCTAAATTTTGAAAACAAATAGTAAAATTCTTAGGACATATTATTACATCAGAAGGAATATTACCAAATCTTGAAAAAGTCGAAGCAATTTTAAAATTTCCAATATCTAAAACGAAAAAAAAAAAAAATCGTCAGTTTAATTGGCTACTGACATTTTATATGTATTTTGACAAAGACAAGACTTGCCAATTTTTTTGCAGAGTATTTCGGAAGATATTTTAATAATAAATGGAACCAAATTAATCAAGGGTACCTGATGATTACGAATATAAAGATTACGATTAGAACCCTGGCAACCCCCTTATGCGTGCCAAAACTACCTCAAATCTGACTTTATGGAATTCAACAAGGCTACTCCCAGTTTCGAGGGTGCTGGATCAAAAATTTAATATTCTGGCCATCTTATTCGTGATCAGCACCCAAAATAAGACATTTTTGCATTCCTTCACAACACTAGCCGTCAGAACTGCAATACGAGTTGACAAGTTGACTTATTTTTAAATTATTTAGGCCCTAGTGCGTAGAATGAAGTACTTTATGCACTATAGTAGGATCATATTCGATGCAAAATAGTAAATCATTGTCTGTCAAGGGATTCAGTGCAATACGCTTTTAAGGGGTTTAGAAATTGAATAATTTCTTTATACATTATGAAGGAACGAATCAGTTCACGTCTGGCACCCTTGTTCCTACAAAAATTCCTTTATTTTCATAAACTATTTATTTTAAATGTAATTTATTATAAATCCAATTTGTTTTTTAAATTCCACATATGTACTACATTTTACCTCTGTCACTGTTGTTTACTTGTTTTTTGGAGTCGGTCTCTGCTTTATGACCAAGCTCGCCAGGTTAGTATCTGACGTATAACCGATCACTTCGTACACTCGATGCACCTGGGCGACTACAGTTACTACCAGAACACAGTGCGTATGCAGCGGTATTTCAGATTTTACATTCAATTTCATTTTAAATTTGAAATGATTCATCTTACGCCTCCTAAAAATGATGACACAATTTTCCTTTGATAAAAGACCGACAATTTTCTGCTCTACTTTGCATCGAATACGATCCTACTATAGTGCATGAAATAGTTTATAACTTCAGGACATATATTTTTTGATAGTAGGAAAATTATACATGCAACTTGTGTATAAAGTATCCTTTTCACTCTTGCGACTGTCGCGCTAGTGAAAAACCTGTTACTTTATACACTTGTTGCATAAATAACATTTTTTATCGATGCTGGTAGTTTTATCGTGATTCTTCTACCGGAACAGGAATAATTGAGGTAATGGAGTAGTGGTTATGAATGAAATGCTACTGGAAATATACGTCATTTCCGTATGCAAATATTTTATGAATTTTTATACATTCTCATATAATATACAGCATGTGTTACGATGTGTTATGAGTTATGGGATACATTATGTGTCATTGAAAACTAATTCATTATATGGAAACAGTACTATTATAAACATTGAGAATTTGTTAGTTATTAGGGTCCGTTCAAGTCAACATTTTCAACCCCATGATTTTCATGAAAAAGTATCAAAAATATAATAAGTACCTAAGTAGTCAGAAATAAGACAAAGATACTCTGTTCATTTGAATGGGTATAGACCAGGGGTCGGCAAGTAATTTTGTGTGGGGTCCGGATACTTTTGAAAATTTTTAACGAGGTCCAAAAAAAAATTCATATTATTTTTTTTATTTTAATTTGGACTCAAATTAACCTGCTTACTAACCATTAAGAACTCCCACACTCACACAATTGTAAAATACTAGAAAAAATGATAAGATTGGCACTTAAACGTAAAAAACATTTTTTAAATAATTTATTTGAGTAATTTATACTTTCAAAAAATTTTTGGCGGTCCAGTATTTTACCTTCCGCGGTCCGGATCTGGACCGCGGTCCGCCAGTTGCCGACCCTTGGTCTAATTGTTGATATTGTTCTCGTTCGGATCGAACCCCACGTTGGGCGCCATATTTTCGTTCGGAGCGAGCCCCACGTTGGGCGCCATGTTGTTCAGCGTTTTTCTAGGTTCGCGGTTGGTAATTTTGCGGATATGGGTGGCTTGCGACGATCGAGTTCTTGCTTCACTCCACGGAACGCGAAACTTATTTTTATTTCACGTGGGCCCCTTTTTATCCAGAAAGGTTGAAAGGTAACCACAAGAAAATCAAAATGGGTAAAAAAAAATATTTATAAGTTCGTCTTTTTTCTTTCAGCATATGAAATTTATATTAAAAAATTTGATTTGGAAAGATAGATAATTAGATCGTCTAAGTTACTAATTTTGTGGAAATTATTACTACAGGATAAGGTTAATAATACTATTTTAATATCTTGATAATAGTTTGATATAGCCTTCAAATTTCTGAAAAGTATAGAGATGCAGGATAAAACACCTACCTTTCGCTTTCTGGTACTTAGAATCTGAAAAGGTAAAATTTGACTCTTTTCCCTGTCCCAAGCTACAGCTTCACAGTCCAATATACATGATTTCACTTCATCTGACGTACATTTGTCAAGTCTAGAAATAACATCCGGATATTTTGTTGTATTATTTTCTTGGTTTCTACTAAAAATATGCACAGCCTTTCCATTTATATGGATCTACAAAGTATGTATGTTAATAACGAGCAAGAATAATTACGATAGTATTTTATTACTTGCGCTCGTTCACCATCATATTTCCATTCACACGTAAATTTATGCCCTTCGAATCGTTGCAGAACTTCTTGTATACCTTTCGTGGGATGAGCTAGCATCGGTTTTAAAGGAATTCCTGGTGTCAATTTGCAAAATTCGGGTAATTTTTTTATTCCTTGTTGTAATAGAACTGGTATTATTTTATCGTAACTTGGACACTCACTAAAACAAATTTCTGCATCACACACATTTAATTCTAATAAGCTATTTTTATTATACAGTGAGTAAAAATAAATATTTGTGAAATTCTCATCCAAAAATAAGAAAACAATTCAACTTTTCACCGATATTTCAAAAAATTTTCGCGAAGCTCCGCAGACATCGCAGCTACCAACAGAATCGTCCCAGAGCTCCTTCTGGACCCATTTGGAGGGTTTATTACCCCCCTCTTAATTTGCTGCGGGAAGATAAAAGTAGGTCAACTCCACCATATGCTAGTGAAACCGAGCAAAATCCGCGTCATGGCGCCCAACGTGGAGCTATGACAGAAGATAGACAACCGACCTATGTAAATCCGCGTCAAAAGCAGACATACATCATATTATTTATTGGACACCCTGTATATATTTTTTTTATGAATAAAAAGCTTCTTTAATATAAAAATAATCGGTAAGATATTTCAAATCCATAGTGTAATTTTAAACATAGAAATATGGAAACATATGACTGAATATCTGGACTGAAGATATAGTTTAAAAATAATCTTGATGAATTAAACGGGCATTGCCAACCGAATGTTGGGCAATAAAACTGGTGAAACCTTCGTAATTCAAAATAATCACTTTTTTTATTATGTGTACTAGATTCCAGTGTTTATTAAAATCTGATGAACTTACCAATAAGCTGTTTTTAATATTAGTGCCAAACTGTCATATTCCGTTTTAAATGATTCCGCAGACATTTTCTTAGCCACATTAAGTTCTTTAGGGGGATATTCTTGACCGGGAGGAGTCATGGCACAAGCCAGAGCTAACGCTTGCAACACTGATTGTTCCGCAAGGCCTATCCTCAATTTTCCTGCCAAAGAACGAATTAAGAACCTAGCTTCGGAATCCTGGCAAGCGACAAACATCGACTGGATCTTCTCAATTTTTTTGGTTTGCGACTAAAATATATACATTTTTAGAATAATATCGCATTGTTATATTATGTTACTATAAGATAATTTTAATTTGTTTACACTTTATATAATCCAAAAATTATTTTAATTAATTGAAGCAGACTGACTATCATTCACCTAATTTTTAAGTTATTTAATATTTAATTATACTAACCGACTGACCAGTCATTTTTGCGATGTCTTTTAATTTATCAAATACTCCCTTTACCATGAGTCTCGCTGGTTTAAATAACATTTTTTGGTTAGACTTAGATTTTTCAGCGACAATTCCCAGATCCCCCACTTCTTTCGCATCCACTTTAATTTGAGCCATACTTCTGCCAGTAGACTGCGCTATGGCTTTCATTAAACTGGTTTCAGCTACCCCCAATTCCAGACCTGAATCGATCAATGTTTTATTTAAAAATATACAAAATATAAAATGAAAATAAATAACTATAGTAGGATCATATTCAATGCGAAGTAATACATCATTGCCCGTCATGGGTCCAGTGCAGTACGGTTTTAAGGGGTTTAGAAATTGAATAAGTGCATTATGAAGGGATGATGGAATCAGTTCACGTCTGGCACTCTACAAAAATCACTTACCTTCATATGCAGGGGCTAGTTTATTCAAACACAAATATACACTAGGTAATAAATCTTCAGGAGTTAAAACTATTACAGATCTAAAATAGTTACTCAATATTTCAATAATCTTTAATCTTGCTGAAACATCTTCTATTTCTTCCAATGTTCTAGCCAAAGCGCTATATGGAACTCTAAAATAAAAATTATTTTTTTGTAATTGCGCTGAAACTTTAGTTACAGAAATCAATAAAAAATGTATTTTTTTTTCCAAAAGAAAGTTGGACACTATTCTTTACTATTCTAATGAAAATTATTTTTTCCCAAGTTAAATAAGTAATACCTACAAATCATAATACATGTAAAAATACAAAGAAAACTGGTTTAATAAGGCACCAAAAACAGTAAACTGGGACAAAACACTAATGCTTACCTTTCCTTATATTTCCAAGACGCATGTTTAATTGGATCATAATTAACTTGATTGGGATTGTATACATTTGAAGTGCTCTTCTTTTTATCATCACTGGTTTTCTGTTTTCCTATAAAAAATGTTTCTAAACAAGACCATTTCTTTTCATTTTTAAGTTAAAAATAAAACTACTAAAACTAATGACATTATACAAGTAATAGTTTAATGTTGCACAAGATAAAGAGCACTTTCACGAGAATTGAAAATATATTTTGGAATAATAGATAGCATATTATTGCCATAAGAAAAATGTACATTTTCTGGCTTCTAAAAAATGAAACACCATGTTATAATATAGTTGTATACAACATACTTCTACTTTCAAAGAATTTTTTTACAACTTAAGGAGGTTTATCTGATTTGGAAATGACAAACAAATATTCATAAAAAAATTAATATAAGCTTATTAATATGAAGAAAATCCTCAAAAAAAATATGACTAGATTGGATACCTAAGAGACGAGATATTAATAAAATAATTTTTCATGATTTAGTACGAAGTCTTATGAGAACGCAAATTTTTTTTGGTCTTTTCACTTAGAATGCGCAACAGCTCATAGAAATCGATTAGGTACTTGTAAGAAAAATAATTTATAATAATTCTCCTTCAAACTGCTGTTGTTGACTAACTTAACCTCCATATGCTTGATAGCCAACGTTGCCAAATGTAAAGGCTTACTACTTTAGTCACTAGCGAATCTACAGAAACTCTCGTAAGACTTTAGACATACCCCAGTACCCGATAAACCTCCTTAATGATATTAGCTAAAGTTTCTCTTACCAAATATTAAATTATTTATCTTTGGCTTATCGGGTGATTTTATTTCATTTTTATCAACATCTTGATAATCTTCTCTCGCTGCATCATCCTGCCTTTCTATTTCTTTTTTTATTTCATCCTGACTTACATCTTCTACCTGTTTATTGGTATCTCTCTTCTGTGGAGATTGAACTTCTGATTTAACACATTCGTCCTTTAAATTCAATTGCTTGGAACTAGAACTGTGTTTTATTTAGAGGATAGTTCGTTTCAAAAATGTTTTTTCTACTTACACATCATCATCGGACTCATCGCTGCTTAAAATACGTGATCTTTTTCCACTTCTTCTCTTTAAGCTATACGGGAGGGAAAATATTTGTGTATTAGTACCATATTTTTGATTATTGCGATCGTTTGAAATCTCAAGGGATTATACAAACTTCAAAAGTGTAGAGATATGTATGGGGATGTATTTAAAAACATTGTAATTGTCTTATAAGTTTCAAAGATATGCTTTACTGTATTTCAGCAACAAAATGCTTATTGACGCAATGCAAGTAAAAAATGAGTTTTCAATAAATTTTTTGAATAACAAAATTATTTTTATATTTACGATTTTATATTACCTTTTTATCAGATTTGTAATAAGTTAACCCCTAAGACAAAGAATTTTTGATGAAGTACTGAGGCTTAAGAGTAAAAACATCTAGTAAATGGTCGAAATACCTTATTAAATAAAAAAATAAATAAAATATGAAGTTACCTATTCTCGGGCAATTTTATTGTACCAATAGCCGTTTTACCACTGGTGCTCTCTCTCTTTACTTCATCGTTAGATTTTGAAGATCTAAAACTGACAATTAGATTTACATTTAAAAAAATATATTAAACTTACATATCCTCATTTGAATCATCACTACTTAACGTTCTGATTCGTTTTCTTTCTCTCGAATCCGATAAATTGACCCTATATGCACATGTATTAGGATAATTATTGTACAAAATATTACTTGAACTGCACTTTTTAAAGTTGTTAATAAATACAGTACATTTTATTATTCTTAAAATGCGATACATAATTTATAATTAATATTAAAGTACGTACCCGTTTTGTTTAGAACTATCCAAATTTTCTTTAGGAATACGGGTAAAAAACGAACTGTAACGAGAAATATATATTTAAAAAAATGGTTTCGTTGTAACAATACTCTTACGTTATACTTTTCTGGGACATATCAGAATTTAGTTATCTTTTATAGCACTTATATTCAACCAAAACCTAGCACAACAAATAGTATTCAAAACACATAAAAAAGAAAAACATTTAAGGTTAGTAGATCAAAGTTTTAAGTAAATGTCGCATTNAACAGCTGACGATCGTCTGGTAAAGAAAATATGTTCTATTTTAAAATAAAAGTTATACGGGGTGGTTTTTATCATGTGTAAAAAAATAGATCCTCAAAAATGTTGCAAGTTTGTCTTATATTATTATAAGTATAATTGTATACTTTATTTATATTTTTTTTATACGTCTTGTGTATAGAATGGCCATATTTCCTAAAAATCATCAATTTGTGAATGTTTAGTCTCTTCAAAAATTTAATCAAATTTTGTTATTCAATATTTAAGTCATACCTACATAATTTGTACATTTTTAAGAAAATAATATATATTTTTAAATAGACATGTTTTCTTTGTCTGGCAGGTACTTGTTCCAAGGTCAACGCAGTCTTTTGAATATTCTAATATTTCAAAAAACATGGCATCTACGACACTAACAATTTACGTAATTATTTTTGACGTCCTGTATCTCGATGATAAATAAAGGTACAGGCACAGCAAAAAATCAAATTTTTTTGTTCTGCTAACCGCTGATTTTTTTTTCAAATTACACCATTTAATTGCCTTTGTTTATTCTTCTTTTATCTGTTTTCCATGCGGAAGAGGCACTATACTATACCAGTCATTTGGGTTTGTGGTTTATGCCATGTTCAAGCGTCTGTACCAAGCGGACGAATCTGTCGACACTTGGTGTTGCATCACATAGCGGATGCTTCGATTTTCAACAGGCCAAATTAGACATTTTTAATGAACACCTGAAAAAGTAATCACCATGGGAAACGGTATATAACATCATGATTATTTCACAGATGTGACTTCTTCACGGGATATTAGCGTATAGTGTACCAGATAGACTATTTGGTTGATATATTTCATAGTTTAATTAATTTTAAATAAATAGTTTTCGCAATTTGTTTCAATTTTGTAAACTAAAGATTTGAAGGTGCAAAAGGTGTTTATACGGAGTGTTAAAAGTAAGTGTAAATAATTTTAAAAGCAAAGACTACCTTCACTAGATATAAAAAATCATATAAACATCCGAGATATAGAGTGCTAAAGTTTTTGTAAAAAATCTGTTTTTGGTTATATCTTTCAAATGGGTTGACCACACATAAAAAATTTATGTCAAATCACATCACTGGTTATTTTGACGCTACAGTAAGTATGTACTGTAAAATTACATAATACAAGTAAAGTTACATTAAGCATGTAATTTTACACTCTTTATGTAATTTACCCAAAATTTAAATTTACATTATCGATAAGAGTTATTATTTTTGAATATTTTTAGAAAAAAATGTTTTAATTTTGAAACATTTTAATTATCTTTTGATATTCTATAAAACTGTATAAAGTTCGAGTGAATCTTAGATTTTTTAACTATGGGGACAAATTAAATAAACAATATGTATGTACTTAACCTAAAGCAAGTGAGATATACATTTTCTTCAATAAAATTGAATGATAAGAAGAAAAAAATAGTAGTTCCATTTGAAAAATGAGTTGTATGAGTGAAAATTTTGAAATTTAAAGTGCCGCACAATCTGCATCTTGTAAGAATAATTTCCTTTCCATAGAGCCAAAATAATAGAAAATTAGTTTACGCTGAATCGAATGGGGAAAACCGTGAATCCGTATCATAAATAACTTAGAAGATATTTGATGTTAAATACAATGATATAATCGGGAAAATTTTCCAAAAAAGTTGAATAACTCGGAAACGAAGCGTCCTTGACGTAAAACTAGCCTGTCTCCATTTAAAGAACTAAACTTGGTTAGCGCTCTTTAGCGCGCTTGGTTGGCTAAACCCAACACCCTGTATAGTTGAAAATATTTTACAGGGATGAACAATAAAAATAGAACTTTTGTTTAACGATATTTTTTCTAAAACGACTTATAAGGAAGCTATGGAACGTTGAATCTTAAGTGGACACACTGTATATTCTTAACAAGGATATTCTAAGAAATTCGTTTTTGCTTCTGTGATATCTCCTCTTCTCCTCTCCCGCACAAGTCTCCGACTTATGGGCTAATTCATGTAGTTAGAATGAGGAGTAGAGATATTATGATTGTTATTATTATATTCACTACTACAACTGCACCTTCATCTTCAATACTTACGATCTTCATGTTCAGAAATCCTTAATTTCTGCACCCTACAAAATAGCCCAAAATCGGAAGAATAACTTAAATTGCAACGCATATAATACACAAACGAAAAAATATCTAAACAGTATGCAGTCAATAATCATCATTAGGCGCCATGCCTCCTCAAGAACCTTACATCACTTGAAATTCTTTTGACCTTTTTGGCTTATAACTAGAGCTCAGGGTTTTCGTCGGCTAGTCATAGGCGTGTTCGTCGTAAACAAATAAATAAACAAGTAGGTATAAATAAAAATAAATAAATTTGCTTATTTTATCAGCGAAAGGTCGTTTTTCACCCCTTCGCGCGTTCGATATTATTGGAATATTAAAACACGTATACACGAAGCAAACGCGAAACCAACCGTTATTACAGGTTTCGTATGGTGCACTGTAGCGAAAAGCCGACGCGATGGCTATGATCGTCCGACAGAGTCCCGAATTCTACTTATAACATTTATTTTTTCTATTTAGAAATACCTCCAGTTCGATATATCTTTTAACATCTAACTTGATGGGAATTACTATCATATACATAGCCTTCATAAATGTTTACAAGCCACGTGACCGCCCAACTTAGGCAACCAACATTGCATAGCTGGTACTGGTAACGAAAAATCCCCTAATCTTATCACTAATATGAATGAATTCATTTACAGTAAACAATGACAAAATGATGTCTACGCTCATAATGCGATCGCTGATCGGTTGAATAGAATTTTGTGAAAAATTGCACCAGTCGCAGCCGGTGAAACAGAATATTCCGTTTTAACGTAATCTTGATCTTATTGTTTTAATAATTTTTAATTTTATCAAAATTTTATTGTTAACATGAAGGAAATAAATAAAATTACTGATTGCGTAGCTTGTAATCATTTATAAAGACTGTATTTCAAGATAGACCATTTAGTGGATGCAGAATTAGGATTAGATGATTTAGACAAAAAAAATTCAAAATAAATATAGACGGTAACCGAGCTGAAAATGATAAAAACTTACAATTTCTTGAGAATATGCCTGTAACACTACCCTAATCTCAACATCTCGATGTGAAAAATTTGTTTTCCGCAACCGTCTTTAGGAATTTATTATATTTTTTTCTGTTCACAATCCTAGACTTCCCTTAAAAAACATTAAGAGATCAATGAATGAGTCCATAACAAAGTGGCAAACATAGAAATAAATAAAATTTCTTAGTATTTCACATCACATAATAAATCAGCTTATTCAGAATTGTCTAAATATGACATTTAGGATATTAGGCGCATAATATTACAAAAGCCACTAAACTGTCAGTTAGGACATTTTAAATAAGGACGGCAGAATACAGGTGTACCTTGTTGTGAAGTATACCAAACCATGTCGGGGATCATTCATATTTATTGTCGCCGTACAAGTTACAGCAATTATATTTTTAGCCGTTATCGCAAATAAAAATACAAACAAGCCTTTTCCTATTCGGTCATCGTTATTAATGAAACCCGATTGATGATGTGGGGTTCGAAGCCATACCTAGCCGTAGACTAGACGGCATTTTATTAGGTAATCTATCGAACCGAGTACTTATATCGAATGTGTAATTAGTATCCGTAAGTAGTGGGTGTGCGCCGACAGAGGTCGTCGTCCTTTTAATAAGTGTTTTTGTATTAAAACTGCACAAAAGACTAACGTAATATAGAGGTTTGGTACAAGACATTAAATAGTTATTTACGCAATAAAGTGTAAAGTAATTCTTTTTCCAGTAATGCGACACTCTTACGAGTGAAAATAGGTGAACACGAGTTGCGTATAATATTTCACGATTTTATTTGAAGTATATGGAGAAGCTAAAGAGTTGCCCAAAATTCACGCAAGAAGTAATTTTGACAGAAAATTTAATTAAAATTGCAAATTTTGTATTAATTCATAAAGTATACAGTGTAGGGTTAATAGTCCAAGCATTATAGAGAAGTACTTACAGAAATTATTACCTGGACAAAAAAAATATGACCGTTTAGAAAATTAAATTTTAAATTGAGTTTCTTGTTCTTTAAGTTGCAAAATCGGGTTTTCTATAATAACGAAAAAACTATAGCTCCTATCAAAAAATTTTAAATTAGAAAGTTTTAGGTTATAAAAAAAATCTATCGACTGATTTTTTGTAAGTATCGATTGCTTTGTTACTTTTCGAGATACATATATCGAAAAAACCGTTAAAAATTTTCTCTTTTCTCTTCTTCTATAACTCGTTTACATTTACGTTCCCATAATTGCTATTTACTGTAAGTATAGTTCGCGGCAAGTCAAAAAAGTACATTTTTGAAAGATTAAAAATATTAATTATTTTTCGATATATGTATATCGATTTTTTGAAAAAAAAATGCGATCTCGAAAATTGGCTAGATCTTCTCCGCAGATAACCCTACAGTAACGTTTCGGTTTATTTTCTTCGTAAAGAGTTATATTACCAGTTCTTAAAAAAATTTCACGATCTTATTAATTTTAAGTATCAAAAAATGACTTTCAATTTTTACTTTATGACAACGACTATTATAGAAAGAAACTGCTGACATTTTTTCACGATTTAAACAAAAAATTTTTATGACCAGGAGCCGAGGTAACTTTTTTATTTAAAAAAAATATAAAAGACCCAATTAACATTTAACAGCGATACGCTTGATGGAGGTTAATGTTAAATAGGTACTTACATTTTCAAGTAACAAAAATAATACAATATGTTTAACTGATTTTTAGTATTAGTAATTGTGTTAATTAGTAATTAGAAAAAAAAATTAAAGTATTATACAAAAAATAGTATTGCAATAGTAAATAATTATTAAAGTGACCACAGAAGTAACAAAAAA